TATATATATGGGTAGTTGTGACTTTTATTAAGAAAAATCATGCTGCTTGTTCTTTGTTTGATCCTGAACTGCTTAAATGAACACAATATATTATTGGTCCCTTTTAGGTCGCACGATGCTTTGTTTTCTTGATTTACTTCTTTGCCTAATACTTCCATTGGTTCTGGTAAGGCTTATTGCTCCACAGGTGATTTTTTTTCCTTCCTCCCCAATATTCAGTTGAATAGGTGCAACCATTTGCAATGGATTTGAAAGGCATATTTTATATTTGTATTTACTGAGGAGCCAATTTGGGTATTAATTTGGAGATATGCTATACAGTTCAGGTGGCCTACTTTGAGGTTTCTGAATGATTTAATTGTAAAAAGTCATGTTGAAAGCACTGATTTTTTTTCATCTTTACAGCTAACCACGACGTACAAAGAACTCAGCTAGCTCCGTGATACTAAATGCGCTCCTCTTCTCTTCTGTTACTCTCAGGCAGTGCAATGGATTTACCAGTTCTCTTCCAGGCTTCCTGCTCCCTGGATTTCTACGTTCGAAGGATGACCAGTTGGTTTCAATCTCTACCTAAACTTTTCCCTTTATCTACACAGGACATTTTTTCTTGCCTTTCTGCTGTTTAGAAGTATGTGCGCTTTGGTAGCGGCTGGGTGAGAGACTCTTGCACAAGTAGAGAATTGCAGCAAGCAGAGTGTCAGAGTGGAATACTGGTTTTGTTTCAGGTCCCCATGTCTTGCCCTTAAGATCCAAGGGATTGCTTCTTTAGCAGAAGGGATAGCTTCTTTAGTACATGCACAAATATAGCATACTGAAGGAAAGGGAGAAATAGTATGATTTGATTTCAGGCAGCATTCCTTCTTCCCCCTCCTCCTCAGGCTTTATACCTCTACATAAATTTAACTCAATAAACTCATGGGGAGCCCTTTTTCTTTTATTTTTTCATCTTTATACCTCTGGAGCACTTAATTCATCTTCTAAGGTATATTCTGAGTGCTGACTGCTGCACTTTGTGCAACTCCAACCTATCCTGTGCTTCAACTTCTCATCATTCATCTTTATGAGCCAAAATACTGACCCCAAAATGAAGTTCAATACTACAGATAAGATCTAAATGAAATTACTATGTTCTCAAGCTGATGTCTTTTTTAATCTCTTATGGCAAGTTTATTTCTTGATATGTCAGTTAAGACCATACTTAGTAGTTTCCACTAAGTATTCAATTGCAAATGTGCAGTGTGTGCAATTGTATAGTGTAGTATCCATCGTAAGCCCACTTCCTTAGAGTGAAATCCAGCTATTGAAATACAGATGAATTTACTAATTATAATTGTTTGAGCCAAATATCCCTCTGTATATCCGTAATAATTTAATTAGTTAATTTCATAATTTAAAATATGTTATCCTGGATTTACACTCATGTAGTTGAGATCAGTATCTCTAAAAATTATTATTTCATCATTATAGACTCTTTCAAGAACAGAGAAATAGGTATGGCCAGGATGTTCTTGAAAATCTGTTTCGTTCTGGGTTTTTTGCACAGATGTGGTGCATTATTAATACATTGGGTATTGAAATGAACATATATCCTCACGCTTTTTTGCTCTCACTAACTTTTCTATTAGCTATGATCATGAAGGGCGTCTGACCAATGTAACACGTCCCACTGGAGTGGTAACTAGCCTTCATCGAGAAATGGAAAAGTCTATTACCATCGACATTGAGAATTCTAATCGGGATGACGATGTCACGGTCATCACAAATCTCTCCTCTGTGGAGGCTTCCTATACAGTTGTTCAAGGTACCAAAGCACACTTCTCAGCACATCTCCTAACCACACACACAACTTGAGAAAGCAATTTGCAAAAGATTCGTGTCATTAGTACACTCATGAGCAGGGGAAATACGTATAAGGTTTGCAAGAAAAGCTCCCATAAAGCTCAATCCTAAAATGGCAGGTCTTCAGGACAGGTAAGAGACGTTCCACAATCGAGCTTTGTGTCAAATATGTGTGGTCATGGTCTGCTGGTGTAAGGTAGTCCTGCCGTTACCTCTTGGGTCAGGTTCACTTTACCCACTGGCATATTTCTCTGTACTTCACTGCAAGACTGGTTCTGACTTCAGTGCCACAGAAATGCAGCCTGACTGCTGAACGTTGGCTGCCTGGGAAGAGATCCTTGTGGAGAGAGAGGCTCAGGCAGCCTCCTGCTATTAAAATTAAATCTTCCCAATTTATACACTGCCATTAAATAAAATGTAGAACGATCAGGGCAGTGGGTGATCTTGTGCCACAGTTAGCACTTCCAAGAACAGTGTTACAGCCCAAGCGTGGCAGGAGAGATCAGCAAGACAGTGGTTAAATGTTTGCCTGGAGCTTTCCAGCACCACCCAGGCATTGTATCTGATGAAGCGAAACCGGTCAGTTACCAAAGATAGACCGAAAGGAATTTGGTGAGTGATGGGGTTTTTTAATTAAGATATACTGTCACTGGAATAAGAATATCATCATCGAACAATAGGCTCCTCCTGACATAAATGTCAACTTTTATAGACTATTATACCATGACACGTCTGGTTACAAAGACTTTATTTCTCTTATACCAGATGATTAATTATGTGGATGCTGTCCTTTTGTCAGACAAATATTGATGCTTTGGTGACAGTTGCACACTGTAGCACTCCATCCTGGCTGAGAATGGACTTGGCTGTGTCAAACAGCTGGAGAACTGCACAGCCATAAAAGTACGGGATTATTTTTATAACTCTTTTCCGACAGAAGGGCTGGGTGCGCCCACCAGGCTAGTGCACTTCTGGTGGGGTGGCAGGAAGGCAGGCAAGTAAAGGACTGTGGCTGACAGCTTGCATTGCTGGAGCCTCACACCTTGAGGATTTAAAGCCAAACTGTGATTCTGCACAAAGCCTCTGCTTGGAGACAGGTTTTAAACAGAGGGAAAGAAAAAGAAGAGGCGCTTACTTCTTCCCGCTCATAAAGAGTCGAGCAGTCTTTTTTTTTTTTTTTTTTTTCTTTTTGTCCTGGAGTTTAATGGTTTGTTGTTTATCCAGCAGTTCAGTTTTCAGGAGTTTTTGTATATATTAGAAGTAAATTACGTGGTTGAGCACATATCACTGTGCATTTTGATGCACAATTAAGAATAAGGGGAAAACATAATGAAATAAACACTGTATCTCTCTGCAGGCTCACTGTTACACTACTGTTCTTTACATGAATCAGTAACATCTGTAATTTCCACCATAGTACCACGTAAATGGTAATTGGAGGCTGACTTCACTTAACATCAACAGGAGTGCAATAAAAAACCAATCAAATTAAGCTATATGTTTTCTTTATGACTGGAGTAGCTAAATTATTTTCTTTTCATTATTGCTGTAGATCAAGTGAGGAACAGCTACCAGCTCTGTAATAATGGTACTTTGAGAGTGATGTATGCCAATGGCATGAGCATTAGCTTTCACAGCGAACCCCATGTCCTGGCTGGGACTGTGACTCCCACCATAGGACGATGTAATATTTCTCTACCAATGGAAAATGGTTTAAACTCAATTGAATGGCGCCTGAGGAAGGAACAGATTAAAGGCAAAGTGACTGTGTTTGGAAGAAAGCTCAGGGTAAGTAGAATCCGTCATTAAAATAATAATCTTTTCTTCTGTGGGCAGAAATGTAATTTTCCATTTTGAAGGACTTGCCTTTCTTATTTTTACTTGTTAAAAATGTGCAACTCTGGGATTGTCTTTGGTATGACAATCTTTCCTTTATTTGAGAGGTCAGTTAACTGTGTGGGATCATCTCCTGCAAACAGCTATAGAAGCTTCATTACTAAAAGTATTCCGAAAGAGGTTGGCAAAAATAGCCAGAATATTGCTGCAAGTCACTCTGCTTGTGAAGGTGGAGGGCAGGAGGGGAATCTGACCGCTCACCACGTGTGAAAATGGTATGGCATGCTTACCGCAGTTAGTCCTGGGGAGCAAACAGAGTTACAGCGGGAGTGGTTGCATTCTGCTTCTGTAAAATCCCCCTGCAGATTCATTGAGACAGGCCTATTCCCATTCCCAAATGGCACAATTGGAAAATAATTGCCATAATTACAAAGTCATAAGCATAGGATAAGAAAGACACTCAGGTCATGTAATCCATCCCCTGCCAAATTAAAGATCTGCTGCAGCCACATTAATCCCATTCTGTGCTTAGCTGGCCTGGTTTTCACCCCTTAAGTACCTAAACTTTCACTGGCTGCTTCTTCAGTGTATACAGTTTTGGAAGGGCTTTGAGATACTGGGCAGAAAACGAAAACAAATGTAGCACTGATCAAGTCCTGGTTCTAATAATTCTTGCAACACCGTTGGACATGAGATACAGTTCCGTGTGTTCAAGATGATATGCTAAATGCAATATATGTAAACAATTATGTAGTAATTTACAAAAAATAGTAAGACTCAGATGTTAAATGTTGGTATTTTCGTATTGCTTAACATCTAATTCCCAGTGTTGAATTAACAAGTCTTTCCTTATTCTCACAAGTGCTCAGAATGCACTTGCTGGGGAGAGGGGGAAGGTCAGACAAAAAATGGAATGAGATTAGCAGCTAATCCTTAATGACTAAATTTCATGGATGTGTAATTGATTTTTGATGTGTTGACCTGCAGAAGTTGGTTATAAGTAGAAAATAGATCAGCTCTGCATTTTGACTAGATGTTCAAAATAAAAATAAATAGGACCCTGCAATGAAATTGCTGCAATCCTAGCTCTCAGTACTAAAAATTTAATAGAGGTACTTGTGGTAATTAGCTGAAGTTAAACACGTCTTCGAGCTGAAACCTTGCCTGAGATGGGTTTTCTTGCATCATGTTTATGCAAATCAAAACACTGCTTTATCTAGCAACACCTCAACATTTAATTGTCTGGTGTTAGTTCCTGTAACAATAATCACATATCCATTTAGCTCTTTTAAATGAAAATCACTATGAGATTATAACAGGTTGAGTGGACTGAAAATGAAATTTGAAAATGAAGGAGAAAGCATAGAATTTATTTGCATCTCATTTATTCTAATTTATCTTTATAAATTGTTTAGTGAATGAAATAGAGCAAGTGTGTTGGAACATTGGGGAGCAGGTGGCAGGCAGGGCAGGCTACGGCAGCTGGGACAGCTGTGGCACGGAGCAGTGCAGACCAGGGGGCACTGCTGCAGAGCTAACACAGCGCCGGGACAGCCGGCGGGAGAGCGTGCGGAGCCATCTCCTCCATCTCCAGTTCAGAATTGTGTCTTACTGAAAGGGATTGTTATTAGATGGGATTTACCTCTGATGAGTACTTACTGCGGTCCCTACCCTTTTTCTTCAGCACGTAAGAAAGATGGGGGCAGTCTTTTTAGCAGGACCCGTTGTGATAGGAGAAGGAGTAATGGTTTTAAACTAAAGGAGGGCAGATTTAGACTAGATGTAAGGAAGAATTTCTTTACAATGAGGGTAGTGAAACACTGGCACAGGCCGCCCAGAGAGGTGGTAGAAGCCCCATCCCTGGGAACATTCCAGGCCAGGTTGGACGGGGCTCTGAGCACCCTGATCCAGCTAAAGGTGTCCCTGTTCACTGCAGGGGGTTGGACCACATGGCCTCGAAAGGTCCCTTCCAGCCCAAACTATTCAGTGATTATGTTCCAGAATACTCCCTGCTCTGTTCCACCACTAGCTAACAAAAGAAGCCCAAACTATTCTATGATTCTTCAGGTAGTGCTGCTACCTGTGCCCCCCAGCTCTGCTCATACGTGCTGTAGGCACATCACAGCTGTACGTGTTGGCCGCTGCGAACGTGCCGGGGCAGACTTCATCAAGCCAAGAAAGGAAGACCTGCACATCACCTTGATGTTATCCCACTGACTGCCCGAAACTATGTTATGCACGACACGTTCAGTGTCTTGCAGTAGTTTCTTGGTAAGATTCTCTGCCGAAGAGTTTTTGTTACAGTGCAGCATCACGTAAGTGATTTTTGTTGCAAGACCTTTACCCGAAGGCTCAAAGGGCTCGTTCCTATGGCCACTTGTTGAGCAGCAGCCAAGGGAAAAGCAGATGTGCACGTAGGTAGTGGAACAAAAGAGAAAGAGCTTGTTAGGTAATCTTCAGTCGTGATACTTGTACTAGTGTTATTAGTGTTCCCAGGAAGAGTGGGAGTTAGTCATTCTGTTTGGGTTTCTTTATAATTAATATAACACTACAGTTACACTCTCTGGTTTTACTCATTTTACAAATGAAAATAAAGTTACTGAATTATGCAAGCAGGTGCTTCTTTATTCTTCAAGTGATGTCTGTATGTGTGCATAGCTCTTGTCTGTGTTATCATTAAAAAAACTTAATCCTTTAGTTTTCTATGGCAAAAAAACTAATAACCCATATAATGTTTTTGAGAAAAGGGAGGATACCTGGAGTCAGACTTTCCTGCGTGCCGATTACAGTTGCCGTTACTGTAATAGAGGGAAGAAACCCCAGAAATCCCAACCACTTTATGAAGCTTCAGAAATTAAAAACCAAACCAAACCAAAACCAAACAAAACCTCAAGAGCTAAAATTCAGTTTGTAATCTTTCTGAAAAGGTTTTTTTTGTTGTTTTGTTTTGGGGGTTTTTTTTTGCTTTTTAGAAAATCTGCCTGTCCTTACGGAATTGGGATCTTTCGGTCATATACTAACCCTTAAAAGTTATAACAAAATGTTTTTGAGGAGTGAAAGCTCTCTTCTGTTTGGCCAAGAGCTCTGTGAAGGAAAGGGGTTTGATATGTCTCTATTATCAGGATTGATCCTACATTTACAAAACTAGAGTGACCGGTTGAGAAAGTACTGATGTTGAGTTTGGCTTCCCTGGCTTTGTTTCCATTATAACAGGAGAGCACAATATTTTTTATTTTGCCAAGGTGTTTTTAAAAAAAAACCTTTATCTGTTCTTTGAATCACAGGAGAAGTTGTTGTTGGGATAACCTTTGGGAAAACCCACAGAAAAGAGTTTTTTCTAATAATTGCCCACTGAGGAAATGCAAACTGTTAAAGAGCTAAATTTTATTAATGGAAAAAATTAGGATAATGAGAGATAATTTGAAATAATTATTTCTTTACAAACACAAAATTGTATTAATTTTAAATTTGCTTTCTGCATAACTGAATTCCTACAGAGTTGGTTGGGATGGGAATTGAGTTTACTCCTGCCAGTGGAAATATCTCAGAATAACTTTTATGTCCTCGAGAAAGGCTCAGGGTTAATTTACATATTGTTTGATGTGCAGTTTAATTTTGGATAAGAGAAAACGTTGCTTAATCAAAGCTACTGTAAAATATAATCTGAAGAACAAATTCCCAGAAACTGATGAATACTTTTTAAGTAGTCATTGCTCTCAAATTATATCTAATTTAAAGACTTCTACTTTATTAATGATGCATCTACAATTAAATTACTTAAGAGGCTTTATCAGATTACAGCCTTAGCCTGAATTCTGTGGCTTAGCCTCCAGTGAATATATTTATGGATCTCTCATTATAGAAGTCTCACTAGAAGCCCCTCCATTTGGCATTCTTACCCTCTTTTGTTTCTCTTTTGCTCTTTTATGAAAAAAAAAAAAAAAAACCAAAACAAAACCACCACCACCCTGGGACTGAAACATTTCATGCTGTACTTTTATTTGAAAATTGTAGCTGAAAACAGTGGAAAAAAAAAAAAAAGAGAAAAATATTTAACCTAATTATTTAGTACTTTTGTTTCTCAAAACTGGAAGTCCATCTTTCCCAGCCTCTATAACCAGGATTTTTAATCAGAAGAAATGAAACCCATCCCAAGTGATCAGGTTGCTGAGGGATCTATTGAATATTTGGAAGGTAAATGAAGAAAACATTAAATGAATGAATTCATGAGCAGGCTGTTGCAGCTGCAGAACCTAAGTGGCTTAACCTCAATGAAGACAAAAAATGA